TTTAAATTCTCCATATGATTGGGAAATTAGTTATCACTTATATCAAAAAATTATTTATAAAACACTAAAGAAACTATTAACACAATTTTGTTACAAGATTTTTACTTCTTTTTTGGACTATCTTCTGTAGACTTTTGCCTGGCTGGAAGAGATGGACATATTGTAATGGTTTGAAAACGGCAGATCATTATACATGGAATAAAGTTTTTACTAATTGCATGGAAGCAAATGATACAATTTTAGAATGTCTGGCTTACAGTAAAAATTTTGAAATTATAATCAATTATTTAGAAATAAAAATATCAGAAATTGTATTTAAACCTTCGTGTAATGTATCTTATCTTCCATTTGAATCGATAGAGCGAACTTATGACTTAACTGCTAATATTTTCCTTTCTGTTCTTGAGAGAAATACTAAGTACATGCTTACAAGTTTATTAATTAATTACGAAACAATAAGACACAGGTGACGATATTATTTAATCAAGATATGCTACACATAGATGTGAAGATTTATTGTACAAATTAATTATGATATTGTATTAATATTCTTTATAGGAGGGTCAGTGATATTGTAACATTAATTGTTATAATTAACAATGTGTATGCTAAGGAACAGTTGGGCGAGGTAAATTTTAAATAAATCAAATTTCTATTTTATATAATATTTTTCTATAATTCTGTTCATAATTATACTCTGTATTTTTCTGTGATAGTGCAATTATTAAATCCGAAATCATTTATTGATAACAATTATTAAAATAATCCATTTCAGATAAAGAAATTTGTAAAAAAGAAACTGGAAAATTCAATCATTCCTAATGTTGAATACAAGCTAGAAACACGTTTGTCGGAGATCGAGAAACAGATAAAATATTTTCAGTTTTTATTCACATAATTGAATAACTAGATTTCTAAGATACTGAGTGTTTAGGCATTATAAATACAGCATAAATGATTGTGATAATATTTATAAATGTATATACTTAATTATTCACTAATGTCATATAAAAGATAATAATTTATTTAATAAATGTCTTTATTCACATATTCACGGTCTTTATTCACATAATTGAATAACTAGATTATCTAAGATATTGAGTGTTTAGGCATTATAAATACAACATAAATGATTGTGATAATATTTATAAATGTATATACTTAATTATTCACTAATGTCATATAAAAGATAATAATTTAGTTTAATTATTTAATTAAATATTAATTGTATTTAACCAATATAATATTAATTATACAATATAATATTAAAAATATTGTATAAAAATATTGTATTATATAATATTTTATAAAAATATTATATTATATTACAATATAATTCATATTATGAATATTTTTAATATTATATTATATTACATGTTATATTGTATTACTTTTCTGTATTACAAATTTAATACATAGATGTTGATTATATACTTACGTGTGTTTATTTTACACAGTTACATGAATATATAAAGTATTTCTGGTATCTTGCAATAAAGTAAAACCATGAGTAGTCTCACTAAACTAAACTAAAAAATCCTATATCATTTTGCAAGAAACCATATTGCTTTATTAGCAGCTTTATTACATAGTAAGATCAGATAAAAATATTTAAATTCTCGCATTCTCTTTTATCTCAGAATATATATTAAAGAATATAAAATTTTGAAATATCATTGAAATATAAAAAAGTAAAAAATTTTAATTTCTGTTTCTTTTCCTTGCTTTCGCTTTCCCTTTTTTACAAGTTTCCGTATTGTAATAAATTAATAATCACGAATATGTTCTTATGCGAATCGTTATCCGTAACAATGTATTATTGTGTATTATATTTGGACTAAGTTTTGCGATAATACAAAAACACATGCAAATTATCACATTGAACACGTTAAGTTATTTATTTATATTGCGCACTAATAATATTAATCATATTATAATCTTTGCAAATCTTTTCTTAAATATATTTAAGTCGAACTTATTTAACTTGTAAAACATGCATAAAAATATGCTGATCAAAATGGAAACAATATTAAAGAATTAAAATTTCGAATTTGAAAAAATATGTAAACTTGTAAAGCTATCACGTATATAAACATGTGATTGAAGAAATGTCAATAGTGATCGATCTAAAAATGGTACCAAAAATATCTCTTCCTTGAAAAAAAATAGTTTACACTTGTATTGCGCTTATATTGTAGTTACATTTTCCGCAATGCGGAAATCTCACGTACTCTCGAGATTACTCGACCGAATCATACTCTAGTATCAATTTCCCATTTGCACTAATATCGACGATATACGCTGCTATCAGTATTTGAGTTCACGAAGTCAAATCTTCGCGGATAATCCTAATCGTCAAAATGATGCAACGTTTTATCTGTTAATCCCGCACTGGACGCCTACGATGATCGAATCAGATTGATGTCGTTTAAAATTTATATCTGGCCATGAAAAAGATTTTATATCGGATCGCGAGAAAGAGGGAGAAGCGAGTTAGAAGGAGTATACATTGTGTATGCGTTTAAAATAGGATTTTTAAACGCATTTTTAAAAGTCTCAATAAAAATTGAATCAGCTGATATAAAATCTGATTCTCTTATTTATTTATTTTAATTATAAAGATAATGGAAATATCAATAAGTTAAACAAAAATTAAATTTTACATTCATTTTAAAATCTTGAGATTCTTAATATATCGCATTCTTTCCTTACTTTATACTTTGATATTATTTTATCATATATTTAAATTACTGTAATATATTTTTTTATGTAATTCTTATAATTATTATATATTTAAGAAAATAAAGCGAGAATAATTTGCTTTAATTTAAGACATTGCGATTGAAAACAGGTGAATATCAAGATTGAAAATTCTTCTGGAATTTTCACAATTTTCAAACATAGACAGTTACACGGTTCAGTATTGTGCATTATTAAATTGGAAAATGCAATCAAGCTCTTTAGCGTATATTTGCTGTACAATGTATAACACTAAAAATCATAAAGCGGCTGGGTTTGCTGTAATTGTAATTTTTTTTATATGTATTTTTTTAATATATATATATATATATATATATATATATATATATATTTCTCTTCTCTATTTGAAGATTATCTTATCTTCTTATCTTCTTGTGTAATTTGTATTATCAAATTTCTTCAAAGATATTACGCATTTTCTTTTGTATCTTGTATAATAATTATCGTACACACGTATAATTGGTATTAATGAGATTGTATATTCGAATTTAATTATTCGAATTAAATTATATGCTTATATACATTTTATTAAAAATAAACTATATAGTATATACAGAATGTCAATGCAATTTCCCGCCAAATAAAATAAACATAAGTAGATCTCGATAAACTAACTAAAAAATCATGTACCATTTTGAAAATTACTACGTAAAATTTTGAGATATTAATTAAAGAAAATCGATCAATACATGCAAGTATAAGCGCGATTATAATTCTTTAATGAATTTTCTCACGCGAATGGTTTTTTAGAAAAATTGTCTTTAAAAGTCTTTCAAATAAAACTTTATACGAAAACGGAATACAAAAACTAAAGGAGTATAGGGGAGACCGGGAACAAAAATAACAGCGTCATGAAAGTAACAAGTATCTTATTAAACTACACAATTATATATTGAATAATTTGTACTATATATAGTCAAACGTGTAGGCCCCGATCCTATTTCTTTTCAGCTAATTGTTGTAGAACGGTCGCGCCGGTTGCACATGCAGGAGTGAAATTAGTGTATTTACATTATTCACCTAAGTATTTCTTGTTAATTTTTTTTGTATCCATGCCTAATTAAAGTATATATTGACGTAATTATTTGCCAGTGTATCCTTCTAAAATGTATTCATAAGTTTTATAGTTGATTTGGCTAATTTTAAGTCTGGCATCGTATTTAGATTATAATGCTTTTATTCTAAGAAATGTGTTTGGGAACAAAAGTAACACGATATCCACGAGGTCCACTCTGTGGACGAAAGTAACAAAGTATTTCAATGTTTAAAGTATAAGGGCTGGTTCCATAATAACTGTATCAAAAAGAATTCTTATTACGCACACACACACACACACACACACACACACACACACATGCCATAATTGTGATTCGGAATATTTATCAATCTCTTTTGTATAAGTAGATTATCATACAATTTTTACACTTATTTAGAATTAAACTATTATTTAAACTTGAAAAAGTACAAAATTGATGTGATATTAAGTATAATTATTTTATGATATTACTTATAATTATTTTGCTTAACGAAAATTATTTCTTTTGGTTTTTTAAAGATGATAAAAATAAATATTTATTTTATTTTTTATTTGAATATAATATAATACAAATTTATAATCAAAGTTATCTTGCTTAATGAAAGATTATAATAAAATTTTTGTTTTAAATTGAAAAAAGGCGTATTTATTTTATTTTTCCGAAAATAAGAACTGTTACTTTCATCTCCAGATTATGTTACTTTCATCCCCGGCCCCCAGGACAAAAGTAACAATCAGCATAATTGCGAAATATTGTAATTAATTCATTTTAACATAATTTTTAATATAATTATTTGTAGGTCTATCAAGTTTTTAATCTAAAATCTTTATTTTCCTTATTAAATTCTTTTATATTATTTAAAAATCCAAACCAGTTATAAAAATTCTTTAAGTTCAAATCGTTTTTCAACCTTCGAAAAGGCAACGTCTATAATAATGTAGAAAAAAATATATACGTATTCCTATACATATACATGTGTGTGTGTGTGTGTGTGTGTGTGTGTGTGTTTGTGTGTGTGTGTGTGTGTGTGTGGGAGGGATAGAGGGTGAGAGAGAGAAAAATTTTTCTTTTCTAATGAATTACATTGTTAATCAAAATTTGCCGCCTCTTATATTTTGATGTCCGTGTACATTGCGCACTTCGTACACGCAGGTAAGACGACTCTACGTATAACCTTCTAAATACTCTTAGGTAAGCCAACAAAGCCATCAGTTTATGGCAGTCTCTTCTAGAGATAAGTTCGCGATCGAATGCTTTTCCTGTTAAATCTGGTATTAAATTTGACTGATTGACCTAATTGGAGCATTAAATATATAATAAAATATTTATCTTTCCTTCTTTAAATGTGCATACAAAATTGTGTGAAGTAACAGGTAACGCTTTTATTTTATAAAAGACATTTTTCTTAATTTTCAAATCGATTTCATTTTATTGTAAATATTATTTTTATCTTTTACATACATTACAGTTAATAGAAATGAAGACATATACGTTTGTACTGTAATAGCATGTTTCAACCATTTTGACATATAGAAAATGTAAAATTTATGAGCTAAATTTCTTTTTGACATTATAAAATTATTGTGTAATCAATTTTATATTATTGCTATAAAATTCTCAGCTATAAAATACTATCTTATTATCTAAACTATAAAATTATTCATCTTAAAAACGTATAATATTTTCTCTGTTTTGTTTTTAAAATATTTTTTATAATGAATATCTAGGTCCAGTAGGATATGTTAATGTAAATGTGTAATGAACGAATGAATAACTAATAATGAATAAGTAACATTTTATCCAAAAAGATGTGTTATAAAAATATTAACATAATTGTTTTCAGAATTTTGTTCGAATGTTTGATACAAGCCGCTCTATTATCAAAATTTCAAATATTTGATAATATTTGATTTCCGTTCTGTGTTTATATGTTGTTAATATATTTCTTACTTCATGAACAGATCAATCTTGAGAATAACATGTTAGTAAACATGCAGTCTACATCAGATATAAAATCGCGTTGTTCAGAATATACCTTCATTTCTCATACATTGTAATGCTTACATTATATATATATATATATATATATATATATATATATATATATATATACTGAATTATGTAATTGCACTAGAAAAAATCTTAAACATAGCTAAATTGAGATAAGTAAAAGTTACGTTTATTGTGCTTATCCTACTGGAATTATATAAATATATTCCTTATGTCTCCTAATATTCAAATCCGAGAAAAATATTTTATATGTCGTTTCAATAAGTTTTACATTTATCTTTTCTATTAATTTTTCTTTATTTATTAAACCATATTATTTTAATTTTTTTTTAATTAACCGTATCTTCTTATGAAACGTTAGTAAATTCTCTTTAACTTTTTTTTAACACAAAAGTTGATTGAATCGCATACTCTTTGTAAGCAAACCTTGTTTTTAAAGCAAGAACGTTTTTTATAGATATTCGGACGAAATTTAACATGACATTCTTAAAACTATTATTAAATAGTAGTATAATATACATAACCATAATAGCAATAGCGACTCCTATCGCTAATGAAGAATCAAAAATCAAAGGAATAGAAACCGATGAAGAATCGAAAATCGCAATGCCCAGTGTATTAAACAACAAATCAAGCAATATATCAGATTATATGTTTCCAATACATTATAATATAAAGATAATGTTAGGCACTGATTATCTTCATAGCGTATGCATAATCACTTTAAATATTTCTTATGCAAAACGATACATAAGATTTTATGTACCGGATGCAACATTTATAGTGTTCTCAAATCTTACATTAAATCAAAATAATGATACGGTTTATGAAGCAAATCACACAAATATTATTAAAAACAATATTGTCGTGCTCGATTTCGGTGATGTCTCGTTTCATGGAATATACGATTTGTATATAGAGTACATAATCTCAATTAATATCGTAAGGGAATCTTTCGGAACTCCATACATAAACGAAAATGAAGAAATAGAGTAAGTAGAAGAATATATGAAATATCAAAAACAAATTGTACATTTGTGCATTCTACTCTTACAATTACCTAAAATTAGTCATTATCTAAAATATATCATTAAAATACGGTAGGTGGTTAATCGCAACAGGAGTCCAGCGAAGAAACAAGTATCAAACGAAAAAACAGCAAATGTTTCCATATTGGGACAAGCCAAAATTAAGAATTACTTTTATTATTTCCATAATACATTATCCAAAATACGAAGTTTGGTCAAATATGCCGATACGAGATATTAAATTGACGGACGATAATTTGATATGGACATTTTTTAACGCTACTCCTTTAATCTCCATAGATAGAGTAGCATTTCTGGTATCCCGTTTTCATCACATCATCCTCTCGGATAATGAAACAATTCGTTCGTCCATATCGTACAGACCACAATCGGAACCGCATTTAGAATTTGCGAAAACTGTTATTTCTTCCACCAATGTATACATGCATAGATGGAATATTTGGAGGAGAGAACTTGCGTCGCTAACTTCTGTTTCATTTGAGAACAAAATCGATCATGTCGTAATTCCGGATTTACAAAATGAAATCGAACAGTCTTTTGGTTTTATTTTTTATCGGTAATATATATAGTGAGAAATATAGATATATTTTAAAACTATATTTTAATTACATATCATATTGTAATCTATTTACATAAGAAATTATATTAATATTCACAATTTTTCGTACATATTAGTATAATTATTTTTAGAGAAGCAGATATCACTTATAATGAAGAATTAGATCCTGTCGCATACAAAACGAGAATTGCGCGCTTAATTGCACGTGGGATTAGACGAAAATACATTAGAAATCTGTTCAGACCAACTAACTTATGGCCTCATACATGGTTAAACAAAGGATTTAATATGTTTTATTCAGAATACATTATCGACAAGGTTATTTTATTACTAATTCTTTTACTATTTGAATACGCCAGTCAAATGATTAACAGTTTAGCAATACAATTAATTGTTAAATATTTGTGCAAATATTCTGTTTTATTTTTTAATTATTAGAAATGATAAAAACCCAAGTCTCTAAAATTTCAAAAATCCAATGAAAGAAATTAAATAAGTACTAAGTATATATATGTTTTTGTATTATAATTATCGCAGAAAAATTTACACACAAACACACATACAAATTTTATTCTTAACAATAGCATATAATAAGCTAATTTTGATATGCACCAAAAACTTTTTCTTTTTGATTATTTATGATAAATTATGATTATATCGAATTGATTTTAGGCTCTGCCAAATTCCCGAATGATGGATCTGTTTGTAGTTCAAATTCAACATGAATTATTCTATCTAAATACATATGTTATTATAAATTCTACTATAAAATATAATAGTTATCCTGAAAATTATTTACAGTCTTCTCTTTCTCAAATTAAAGGTATGCGTATAACATTGCATAATTAAACAATTAAATAATTATAAATTTTCGAATGTTAATTTCATAGTAAATGAGAAAAGTCATTTATAAACAAAAGACTCTGTACGATTCATATGGAAAATGATTTTGAAGTTTCGTGAAATTTGCACAAACTCTGGAAATAAATAGTTTGTGGCCAATCAAAAGTCACATTAACGGTTGTCGGTTGATAGAGCCATTTCGTCGCTACAAGCGTTCAAATGTCAAAATAAGGCGTTACTTCATTACTACTGAAAGAATATAAATAATATATTATTGAGTAGAAACACACACAGTTGATTACTTTTATTAATATATAGATATGATATTTACGTGGAAAATATGTACATAATTGTATATATTGGTGTCCATAAATTTCCTATCTACTATATTTCAGAAACGGTTCAAAAATTACGAAAAATCATGAAACAGGTGTTTAATTATTTTGAGAGGCTGGTCTTTTAAAGCAATTAGGGTAGTTTGTATCCTTCTCCATCTGAAGGGAGAGACTTAGGGAAAACCTGTATAATAAAATACTTTTGACTAATTTTATCAAATATCAAATAGCATGTTATGACGATAGCATCGATGCTGCTACACGCACATTTTTTCCATGTAAATATATTAGTAAAATGTCTTAATAAAAATGATCAACTGTGTGTCACATTTTAATATATAATTTACTTTATTTGATATATTATTACTTTTCCTTAATAATATTGAAATAACGTCTTATTCGATATTTCGATATTTGAATTTTGAATACTTGTACTGAAACGACTTTATTAATCTTATGACATTTATTTTGACATTTTTTAAATTTTTATTGTTTTTTCACGTAAACTATTTATTTCCAAAATTCAGCAAATTCAATCAGAATTCAAATTTCTTCGAAATTCAATTTCCATAGGAAGAACCATGCCTTCATTTGTAAAATTTAATATATTTTTTTATAGTATTTGCAATAACGTAATTATATGTAACTTTAAAATTAAATTTTTATATAATTTTTGAATAATTTTATAATATGTAATTTTTTTAAAATTATAACTATACATGTTTGTCTAAGATTTCAAAAAATTATAATCAAATATAAAATTAACTGATTCCTTATAAATGTATAACTTATTATTTTTAATAAATTTTTAATCATTCATTATTTATTCATTATTACAAATTTTTTCGTTAAAATGTATTTAACAATTTTTCATAGCTGCTTACTTTGATTTAATTGCACAAATTTTGTATGTGATTTATTTAGTTTTATTAGTTACAAATATATTGAAATCCTTTATTACATATTTTAT